AAATATTTATATAAAAGTGACATATGCAGCTTTAATTTCACTCAGGAGAGAACAGGTCAGGAGGGACGTGGGTTAGAGCTTCTGCTCACTCACTTATATGTTATGTGGTAAAAGGCACAGGGAACAAGTTAAATTCATGAGCTGTGAATATTGTGCTAATTATCAATATTGAACCAAAGAAAGCAAGGCAGACGCAAGCCTTTAAAATTGTGATACTTTTTATGTGTTAAATAGACTCAAAAATTGTAACAGCAGCTGCGCGGGGGGCCCAATCAAATTTTTTGTCAGGGGCCCAAGATTTCTGGCAGCACCCCTGTTAGTGTATATTAAGCATATCCTATCATTTCAGGTGCACAGTGACCTGCGTAGCTCGGTGGTCGCATTGTGGCTGCGCTGCATTTGATAAAGACTGCCATACAACGTATTAATGCGCAAAGAAGAGTTTGGAGTGATCTGTGTAGATGTCTGTTTAATTTAATTTCAATAAAAACTTATTTCCCCTGTTCGATACTGTTTCATTCTTACAAATACCTCTGTATTTAAAACATTTTTTAAAAGGTAGGCTATTCTAATAAAAATAATAGTGCATAGAACTACGGTAGCTTTTCATTTTAAACAAATAGGATATTCTGATGAAGGAAGTGATATTTTTCTGCTTTTGTCGTGTATATAAATTGTTCCAATGATATGCTAACCATAAAAGTTTCGGTCTTGTAACTCAAAGAATGTTATCAGATGATAATAATTAACAACACAACCCGCTATAGTTTTCGGTTTGAAAATATGACGGAAGTTTTAGACGTTTAGCACCGACAGATAGACATGGCTATCTATCCGTGTTACGATACGAAAATCAGACGTAGTACAGACAGTCAGAACTCTGCCCCTGACATTCTGGATTTTATGCTCTACTTTGGGATTTTAATACTGCTCACTAATGATGAAATAAAGCAGACTGGACGAGTGGTTCCAGTAGGAGGCGTGTCACTGGGCTTCAGAGGGGGAGAGCGATGTCACAGAAGTAGCAGGGAAGATGGCAACTCTCGCATCTCTCACCCAGGTAACGACGCTGCAATTTCCCCTATCATCTGCCTCAACAGAAAGAACTACATAGCGGTAGAGTCAGACGGTATCGCCCATCAATAAGTATTAGCATAAGTGGAGTTTACAGAAAATACGACGCGGCTTTCTTATAATGCAGATAGATTGTGGAACTAGGCCTGTTCCTTGAGCGTTTGTTAGCGGATTGATTAGCATCCACTGACACTAGGTTCTACTGTTTATGTATATACAACATGGTGTTTTTCAAAAAAGATGATGGCTGCTCATGTAAGAAAAAGTGTCACCAGAGACACCAAGCCTGTCCCAAGCTTAAGGGCTAACACAGTTGTACTGCTGACTCCTAAAGCTAGCGTTGGTCAGATGCTAGGTTGAAAGGATGGCGTAACATACCAGGAAGGGTTAAATGTGATGCTGATGAGAGTTGAATCTGTGCTGTACATGATCCTTCTTTTCATATCTATTATGCTGACGCATCTTAAAAATATGTATTAACAATGGTTGGATTAAACTATTGTATCATCTTGATAGTGTGAAATGTGACTCGATTAAACTTGCTAGTTGCGTTGCAGCTGCACTTTGTGCCTATATAAACAAAGAAACAAAAGTGTGAAAAGAAGAATGTGGAATATAGACACATAATCCATGTACATGGACATCATGTCTGAACCAAATAAGGTAGTTTGAATACTAAATTATGAATGTCCAAGTCAAGTTATTTTGAACTGATTTTGCACTTGTGATAATATGATACTATTACAGTAAATTACCATAAACCGTATGTCCTCCAAATAATGAGTAAATAACGCCTGTAAGTGATGCCGAAGATGACATATTGCCCTTGATTCTTAAGCTGCAATGATTAGTGACGCCAGTTACTGAAAATTGCATGTAAAATTATTTTATATATACATATAAGTTGATTGATCTTATGATCGACTTAATGATTAATGGATAAGCAGCCTTTTTCTTAAAATCGTACATTTTCTTTTGCATCAAGAAGGGCAACCATCTTTCCTTAACATAAAGGGCTATTTTTTTAATAATATGGTTGTCTTACATTATTAAACTTAACTTATAAAATTTAACAAACAGGAACTTCTTATGTTGCTAAATTGAAAAAGAAAAGATGAAATAAATAGAATGTGACACACTTAATTCCTTATGAACAGAGATATTCACACAGAAATATTGTCTGCTTTTGAAGGAATGTACTTAATGTACTTCCCTCTATGAAGTACATTGACAACAGCCCTCAAAATCAACCTTGCTTATTAGCATCATGTTTATTTTCCATCATGTTACAATTTTTCTGCCTGATGCTTTCCGCTTTTCTGTCATTACATCCTTACCTTTGTAGCACATCAGTAAGTTTTGGTAGAGAAGTCGACTCTGGTCTGTCATGCCTCTTGACCTCATGAACATTATTAAAGTGATAACAAGAAACTTGTTGAGTGTTCATACGTCAAAATTAGAAGTGCACCGATTTATCCACCAGCCGATTTATCGGTGCCAATTTCCCTAATTTTGGGAGATCTGTGAAGCCGCTCTTTTCTTGCTTGGCAAAGGTCTAAGAATCAACCACTGTCCTCTTTTTCTCTCCGGTGAGAAAGGTTTGACTGACAGACCGGCCCACCAAGTTATGTCTGCACGCTTACAATTAACAGTAGTTACCCCACTGTTGTCAACTCAACAAATTTCTTGACCAAAACATTTGGTTAACATTTCAGACCAAAAAAATTGGTATTGGCTAAATTCAGAATTGGCACGTTAAGCTTTTTAAAAGATAGGTAATCGGCGATCGGCTAGAAAACTGCAATTGATGCACCCCCAGTCAAAATGCATCCCATTTTGCATCTCACACTACACTCTGTTTGGACCTTTTTACTTTCCATTCTGGGATCCCTCCACCATCTTAGTTTCTCTATAAATTGGCTCCGCGGCCAAACTGCAACACCAAAAAAAGGTCTAAGTGAACATTATTAATCGATTCAAATTCATTTTAATCTAATAAACCATTAATCAACAACCATAATTTGATTAACTGTTTGAATTGCTAATATATGTGTATATATATGTATGTGTCTATATGTCTGCGTGTGTGTATGTATGCATAGTTTTAGCCTATTCAGCTTTAACATCACAAATGTTATTGATTGTCAAAACATCTTGCGATAGGTGGTGAGCGGGAATCCTGTTTATGAGAACTTCTACAGACGGGTAAGATGATGACCCCTCTAATGTGACTATCTAACCTATTTACTACTTCTGAGAAATAAAAGAACATAGCTTATGGTGTGTTCACAACAAATAGGTTAAGCGCGTCAAAAACACAGCTGACCCTTTAAGCGTCTGCACTTTGATGCAGACTCTTGACATTTTGCTCTACACCTAGCGTTTCATGCATCAGGCGCATCTGGTTCAAAATCTATGTGGAGGCGCATCAGATGCGTCAAAATCACCCATTTGTTGGACGCGCTTGACATGTCAAATGCTCAAAATGCTTCAAATCAAGCCGTGCTAGATTGTAGAAATGCGCCATTATCCCTCAACGTGCCTCCACATAGGCTTTCACTGTAAACCAGATGCGCAAAACTCGTTTGGTGTGAATGCACCATTACATGACTGACTAAAATTGCTGTGGATATTTTTTAAGGTGGATCCTGAAAACACTGGCAAAGTAGGACCAACAGAAGCAGCGCTTTTTCTCAAAAAGTCTGGACTACCTGACAGTACATTGGGGAAGGTAAGCCTTGTTATGCTGTACCAGCAGTTAAGGGAAACACAGCAGTGAAATTAACACCTATTCATAAGAGCCTTTAACAAACATCAGACACGTAAAGCTGAATCTGCTGAGACAGAGCAGCTTACTGGACTCCATCCCAGAACAGTTTTATGTCCAAAGAGTTCTGTATGTTCTGTCACTGTATTCTGTGCCTTAGAGTTTCAGCTGCTGCCCGTACACTGCTGGTGAAGGTTGTTGTATACAAAAATATAGGAGTGCATTTTACATACAGTTGGGAGAATAAATATTTGATACACAGCTGATTTCGCAAATGTTCTTACTTGTAAAGCATTTAGAATTCTATGTTTTTTATTATAGGTACTCTTCAACTGTGAGTGACATAATCTAAAACAAAAATCCAGAAAATCACATTGTGTAATTTTTAAAATTACATAACTGCATTTTATTTTATGACAGCAGAAAAATAACTTATATTTGGAACAGAAATATTTGTTGCAATTGCAGATATCAGGGATTTCTTTTAGTTCTTGACCAGCTTTGCACACAAGGCAGCAAGGATTTTGAACGACTCCTCCAATCAGATCTTCTCCAGATCCTTCTGATTTCGAGGCTATCACTGGGCAATATGGATTTTCTGCTCCCTCCAAAGATTGTTTATTGGGTTCAGGTCTGGAGACTAGCTAAGCCACTCCAGAACATTGAGAGGCTTTTTGCGGAGCTACTCATTAGTTGACCTGGCTGTGTGCTTCAGCTGGTTGTTAGACGTCCCAAAAGAAAAAGTTCAAACGTCACAAAGCGTCATATGTGCAAATGTATTGCCCATCGCCATTTGTTGAATTGACAAATATTGTTTGGGTGATATAAAAGATTTTCCCAATCTTAGAAGATGCCCCTCCTCGTCAGCGAGACTGTCTGCACCCCCAGGAAGATCACAGCATGTCCTGAATGAAGGTGTTCACAGTTAATGTTATTTAATCTAAGTAAAGTGACGACAGGTTCTGGACAATTTCTGATGTTATTGAAATAAAATTGTAACTTTACCTGTCTAAGGTACTTTGAGTAATATTGTTTGTGTTCCCGGTAGATTAGTTTGTGGACAGTAAGGCCAGAGAGTATGCAATGCCATTCAAGAACCTGCCATACTGCCTTCATCTTCCGAAGCTCATCTGTGAACCAGGGTGCTGAGTGGGTGTAGAGAGCAGCGCCCTCTACAGTGGGCGCTGCTCTGGTTTTTACAGGAGCATGATTGTCTTGGAGGCTAATCAGATGGTTGTTGTAGTAATTCACAGCTTCATCTCATGATGAAGAGTATGTGGAAAGATGCTGAATGTCCATTGACCAAAGTTCTGTGTTGATGTTGTTTAGATTTCTAAAACCAATATTAGTTTAGGCTTGTATATACTGCATGATGATGTCAATGCCATGGAAATGACATTGTGGTCAAAGAGTCCTAAGTCACATATACACATATGAAGTGTCACAAGGGGTGTGGTAAAGAGGACACTTTTCCACCTCCCTCTCAGGACAGAGAGGCAGTGAAGTAATAACCAATTCAGTTAATTTCTTATTTTATTTCAGTGTGTTTTGTTTTACAGATTTGGGATTTGGCTGATCCTGAGGGAAAAGGCTATTTGGACAAACAGGTGAGGAAGTCTGTACTTGTAAAAAAAAAAAGTCTATTTTTTTTATTAATAAAGATAAATTACTATCAAACATCTTAAAATGAAAATATGAAGTGGTAAAAATCAAAAATAAATGTTCATCTTTTTTTCCAACTATATCTAATATGTATTTTTTTTATTCATATACACATTTCAGTAATAAATGTGCAATTTGTTTTTCTTTTGGCAATATCATTTTTAGGTTGTGTCTGATACTATTTTTCTTTCTCATTCAGGGATTTTATGTTGCTCTCCGTCTGGTGGCCTGTGCGCAGAGTGGTCAGGAAGTCAGTGTTTCTAGCATCAACCAAACAGTCCCTCCTCCACAGTTTGTAAGTGAAATAATCTTTATAGCACACTATTTTTCATTCTTTTGTTATGACTGAGTCTTCAGCCTTGTTTGGATTGGAAGGTTTAGATGTTAAGAAATGTAATAGTCTTCCACAAGGTTTAAAATGAGATAAGTGAGAAAAAATCCGCGACATATGAACCCGCCTCTTCATGAAAATACAGGGTAACATCTACAGAAACAACCCTATTTTATTTTACTAATAAAAAGTTATTTATTAAAGCTCAAGATGTGTCAACACAACCGATTATTGTCTTAAAACTAATGCAGTCAATTGATTACAAAATTTAATCAGATTAACCACCCCATGCACTGTGATTAATCATCACTATGCCTAACTTTTGAAATGTAAATATGGTCACAGTTATGGGTTCTTGCTGGAATGGTGCCCTGGGCAAGCCCCTTTTTCTGCTGCATTTCAACCATTAAAAAGTAATTATCCGATTTTTTTTGCAGCATAAAGCAGGTAATGTAGTCTCCCAGTAGTCAACAGCAACTTAGAGAAACTTACTTCACCATACGCTGGGCAGCGTGTTGAGATGTAAACGCTGGACATAATTCTTTGTTTACAAAGATAAATCATTCTCACTGCTCCCTCAACGCACACCTCTGAAAGTGCATCTACAAGTTATTCCTGCGGTTCACATTGAGCTGCGCAACCAGAGCTAATGCTGTGAATTTTAAACTCTTACCCTTGATGTAGACTTTCCAAAGAATAATAATTCCTCAGATGGGGTTGATGTACATATCCATACAAGTCAGCCTGTGTCCAGTTAGAGTGATTAGTTTTCTAATTCCTCTACAGTGGGCGCTGCAGAGGAATTAGGTCATCCCCACCAGACATTGTTGTAGATTCCTGTTGGGGAGCGGATAAGGATTGATCCCAGTGAGTTTGTTGCAGCTAGGTTGAAATCTTTAGAGCCAAACAGTATCACCACGCCGTCACACTCGCCTTATACACTGAAACCGGTCAGTGTTGGAAACCAAGATACACCAACTTGTCTTCTCTCTGGACACAGTTTCACGTTGATTAGGTGAAAGGAGGAAGATAGAGACCGCTCAGTGGCCGTGGCTTAAGTGATATCATCATTTGATCATTGGGTATTGTAGGGAACCCAATGCTGATCAATCATTGAAAGTTTGGTGTCTCAGTGAATTTTTGTGTAGGAGAGATAACAGTTTTGTGTTGCATGGCAAGATGTCAAACTCTGAGGCCTGGTCATGCCCCTTCACCATGCACTCACTGATTTCATATTTTTGATCTGGCTATGTCTTATAAACAAACTGAACAAGTTTGAACCTGGTCGATCGAAATCCCCAGAAAGAGCTTGATCAAATGCGGAGATTGTAAGCGGCCAAAATGGGGTCAAAATCGGAACTTCAATCCAAAATGGTCGACTTCCTGTTTGGTGTAGACCATGGCTGTAGAAGACTTTTCTGTAGGTCTTAGGATGTTGTGCAACTGTGCCAAGTTTCATGTCTTTACAATAAAGTAAGGCCAATGTGGAAGGTATTTTTAAAGTTGCCAGAGGGAGTAGTTTATGTTGTGATTTTTGCAGCAACCTTAAAATAGAAAATTTGAAGGTCGACAAGCAACAAGTTTGGTGAGTTTTTGAATATGTTAAGGTCTCAAATCGCAATAAGAATAAGACACAAAACAATTACAAAACGATTACAATAGGCCTTTACAATACTTATGCAATACTTACATTGCCTTCGCATTGCTTCGCTGCTCGGGCCTAATTAATGGAAGTCTTTCAAGGCAAATTACATTTCAACAAGAATGTAGGCAGGGCTGCTCTTGAAGCCCACTACTTTAATCTTTTTATTGAGCCACTTTCTCAGATTATTGGAGACAAGAATGGTTTGGGCGGGGGGTGGAGGGGGTGATAATGGGGTATGTTGAAAACAAAATATACTTATATGAGGATGATGTATTGGTTACAATTAAAAATCCTAAATCTGGTATTCCTTCCCTTACGGACATCCTGGAAACCTACAAAAAACTCAAATTCTGACCTTTTTTGTCCCTTCAAAACAATTAATGAATAGTTAGTTATCAATTCAATTGGCATCAATCACAAATAGGGTGTTCGGGTGTTTTATTAGCAAATCTTGCTCATCTATATGGGATTAGTTACTACAGCAACCTACCTTATCTGACGGGGTGTGAACCGTCAGATAAGGCTTCTGAACGTTGGTGTTCCCGCTAAGTCCTGAATATACCCAATTTAGGTTGTCTTGGCCCTTTTATCGCAGCCTGTGGGGTTTACCCCGACTGGGAACGAGAATACAACCTGTTGAATGTGACAGGTAGCCAATCAGAAAGCGTGGTGACGTAAGAACAGAGGGGAATACCAAACAGCTGACATATCGCACAACTGTGAGTCCGGTGGATATCGGAGATGATATGTGGAAATGTTTATTATTATATGTAAAGGTCGTTATTATATATGTTTATGTTTATTCAGTTAAAAATGTTAACTATGAAAAAACATAACTCACCTCCAAATCATAGTGCAGCAAATAGAGCGGCTGCTCCCATCGTCTCTTATCCACCGCCTTTTCTTTTTGTTACGTCTTTTATCTCTTAAAATGACTCTGCGTCCTGATATTCCTTCTACATCGTTATCCGTGTTTGGTTATTCTAAATTCCCGTATGCTATGTTGGGGGTTTTACTGGATTATCCTCTGGAATCGGTTCGTGTTGCTCCTGCCTTGGACACACGAACCGATCAAACCTGTTGGACTTTTATCAGCTCTGTGGTCACAGAGGTTTGGAGAATTGGCTGACAATCCTTAAATCTTGCCGTCTAAACCAGACTTAAGACTCACAAGCTCTACTCATCTCCTCTCGACCACTGCCCAAACGCTCTCTGACTCTGGTCGCTATGGTAACGTTTATATAAAACGAACATTTTACCCATCCATCCA